ATTAGTTAGCTAATATTTTACAAAACATTTAGATGAAAAATCCTTTGTAAGAATTCTAAAAGGACTTGAACGGATCGATGGAAATTCCGTTCCATGAGAAAAGGGAGAATGACGGTTGACCAGGAATGATTCAGAGGCGCTGAATAAAAGACAACACAATGTCATTCAGTATTCAAAGGTTACAGTTCACAGTCAACGGTTCGACCCCTTCGAATTCGTAAATTTGTCACTTTTTAGGGGTTCATAAAATTTCGTGTGTTTGCAACAAGTACATTTTGTTTGTCATTTTATTTTCGAAAAACACAAAAACAACAAAAATATTTTTCGTTTATTTTGTCTTTTATTTTCGAAAAACATAAAAATCCAAAAAGATTTTCGTTTGTTTTGTCATTTAATTTTCGAAAAATCAAAAACCACAAAAATATTTTGTTTTTTCATTTCTTTATAGTATTTTGTTGCAGTTATTCATGATGATTCAACTTGGGGAATGCTTACAGTTCTAGGGTCAGGTAAATTTTCGAATACTTTGAACTAGTTAAGATGTCCCTAGAAGCATGTTGCAGCATGTTGACCAAATCCTCCATTGACTCAATATGTGTGTACGAAAGCCTTAATGAAATCTTTCATAAGAAAATTTCATCCCAATCAGACTTGTATTCATATTAGTCTCCTGAGCTACCTGACAAAGAAACAAACATATAAAGATCAATGTGGATTAAAAGTAAATTTAAATGGCTTCCAAGGGTAAACTTGTGTTCGACCAACCACACATACAAAGGTGAAAATTGAAAGCTGAAAGGGATGGGGTTCTTCTGTGAACGATGATTCTTAAAAGGTAAACATGTCTCTTTTTCTCCTCTCTTGCACACATTCTTCATCTAGTCATTATCACTACCACAATAAAAATAAAAAATAAAAAGAAATGTCTCAAAAGGTACATTGATTAAAGCTTCCAGTAAGTTTTTAGCTTGATCAAGATTGCGTCTCACATGATTGACAAATAAAATGTAAGATTAAGAAGTAGGATGAGAACATATATGGGTCAAAAAGCTAACATGGCAAAGCTTTTCAAATGATTGGACATTGTTTTCTTTTCTTTGCATCTGAAAATATATAAACATTTTTAATACCTTAGATTATGTAAAAATATAAAGAATTGAAATACTTACCCTTCTTGTATGAAGTCTGTGAGCTTTCTCCCTTGGTCTAAGTACATTGTATGGATTGGTGTAATTAACTGGAGGAAGTGGTTGTAATAACAACAAAAAGGAAAATTTTGTTTTTTACCATTCAGGGGCAAAATGGTTATTTGAAAGAGGAAACTAACCTGCAGGCAGCATAGAACGCGTTTAAGCCATCTTTCACGCTGATAAAAAAGAACAAATTTGTAAGCAAAAATTAAAAAGCATAACACCAAGAGTACTCATTGTTAAAAAATGAGATACCTTTTCTTTCAAGTAACTGTAAATTGACTGGAATCAAGGTTTAAAAAGGCGGAAACGGGCCTCGAGGCTAACCGAGGCGTAAGCCTCATAGGATTATCAATAAATAATTATATATATAATAAAAAAACACAATTTTATATCTAAATGAGAAATATGATAAGTCACTAAGTTAATAGCATAAAAGTGAAGCAGAAAATCCTTAAATGTCAATAACACAAAAGTCTAGCATAGAAGTCTTGAATGCATGGAACCTAAATCCTTAAATGTCAACAACACAAAAGTGAAAAGTCTAGCATAAAAGTAAAGTCTAGCACAAAAGTCTTAGAGGCACAGAGCCCAAATTCAAACATTATTAAAGCAATCATTTTCCGGCGCATCGTTCTCACGATAGATGTCATCTTCATCAACCGAATTTAGTCCATCATCATCTTCATCCACCAAATTCACTTCAACATTTTTCCGCTTCCTAGATGAAGAACTTTCACCTCTCTCCCCAATTGCCCTACAAACTACATCAATTTCATCCTCCTCACATGCTTCATCATATTCATCACTCGGGTTGGCTATCCACTCGTTATCAGATAACACCTCATCAACAACTAATGGGTCATCATACTCTTTTAGCTTAGTCTTCTTGATAAAATTTTGCTTCAGTTTCTTATTGTACATGATGTACACCAAGCTATTCATCCTATTAGTGCTCTGTAACAGCCCGAAATTTTCAGGTATTTATTATTGGTGTTTTTTTTTAGATTTGTGAGTGGACTCGGCGAGTTGGAGCTCGAACTCGCCGAGTAGGACCGCGATTTTGGACACGGGTTCGCGTTTGGACTCGGCGAGTCCACGCTGTGTAATGAAACCCTAATTCCCAGGGTTTGAGACATGTTTAAAGGGCCTTATGGCCGTCATTTGTGCTCACCAATCCATAGAGAGAAACCCTTGAGTGCTTGGGCGTTTTGAGAGAGAAAGGAAGCCATTCTTAACCTTTGTGGTGTTGTTTCGCAAGAAGGAGGAGGTCCTAGACAAGAGGAAGCAAAGGAGGTTGCTATAATGTGGATTTGAAGCTTAGATCATCGAACTTGAGGTATCATTTCAGCTCATCTTCTGTTTTATGAAGTATATTTGGATTTAGGGTTTCTTTTGGCCTTTGTTGGGTTGATTTGATGCCCAAATAGCCCTTTCTAGTGATGAGGCTTTGGATCTGGATCCATAGAGGTCCAGAGAGCCTCACTCATCAAGCTTTATGAAGAGCAATAGAGGTTATGACCTTGAGTTGTGGTATTTGGGGTTAAATCATCATATATGGTCATATAGATGTTGTATGTGCATCAAGATAGCAACTTTACATGATAAATAAGCTTGGAAGGACTGGATCTATGAGTTAGTGGAATAGATCTGACCTCAGGAGTGAGTTTGAGTCGTTGCATGGCATGGACTCGCCGAGTCCAAGAACAGACTCGGCGAGTAGCATGAAGATTGCCCAGCACCACTCAGCGAGTGGTCTTGCCGAGTTGAGGGATTGACTCAGTGAGTCAGGGAGAGTCAGAGTGGGTTGACAGGTGGACTGAGTCAAGCTGGGACTCGCCGAGTTGTTCTTGAGACTCGGCGAGTTGAGTCGTGGAGGCCCCACAACTCATGCCAGGTGGAACTCGTCGAGTTAGGAGAATACTCGACGTGTCAAGTGAGGATCCAGGGAAATCAGTGTATGCGCTTAGACTCGCCGAGTCGTTATAGTGCACTCGCCGAGTCCGGTCAAAGTTGACCGTTGACCATTGACCAGTGTTGACCTATGTTGACTTGTTAAGGGATAGTCAACCTTAGTTGGGAAAGTGTTAATTAGAGATGTATTGTGTTATAGGAGGACTATAGCTCGGGAGATCGAGCACTAGTGATTTCAGGGATTTACGAATTACCGAGAACGCGAGGTGAGTCTTCTCACTATACTTTACCTTGAGTAGGTAAATAGAGTTATGTGATACAGTGCTTGTATGCTATATTTATAAGTTATGTGTTGCGCTGCATTATTCTTTGTGATTTATGTTGTGCATGTTTACAGAGTTAGAACCTGAGGGTTCACAGAGTTTGGGTGCACGGACCCACAGAGTTATAGCCTTGAGTGGCTAATATGTGTTATATGTTGTATTTTGGGGAACTCACTAAGCTTTGTGCTTACCTTGTTTGGTGTTATTTGTTTCAGGTACTAGTGACGATCGTGGGAAGGTGTCGGCTTGATCCGTACACACACATGGGATTTATGATTTTGAGATCTTGGGATTTTTGTATTGATTGGATTGAATGTTCAAATATGGTTGTTTTATGAATATTAAGTGAATTATGTTTTATAAAAATTGAAAATTTTGTTTTGAAATTTACGGTGTTACATGCTCAATCGGTTTCTTCTTTTTGTATGAACTTGATTAAACGTACTCCAGTTTCGTTCACACGACGAAGCCGAAAAAGTAAAACCCAATATCTTCATTGCAAAGGCCTGTAGTTCTGGAACTTCATCTCCATAATGGCCCCACCATGTGACTATATAAGTTAAATGAATAAATAAATTAGTAAATAATATAATTATGTAAAATAATAAGATAGAATAATTATAACTTGTAAGTTATAATTATTTATTAGTTACCAGGAACACGCTTCATATATGAATTCAAAGAAGCTCTACATCCAAACATTCCTTTTTTGTATTTGTAGTCATCAAGTTGAGCTTCGATCTTCATATAAATATCATTACTCTTGATTAATCTGTCCATGCAATTGTACAATCCTCTCTTAATTTCCGGATGCTGGGAAACATTAGGACTCCATTTAAATTGAGGATTCAAGTAGTAGGCAGCTGCATGCAAATCCCTATGCATTTGATGTTCCCATTTTTCATCAATGATATCCCAAATCTCATTATAAGAAGAGACTTCATTATCAAAGTTCTTAGCAATTTTTTCTTTGCACTCATCCATCGCACCGTAAATAAAAGCCATAGCTGGTGATTGCTCACCATCAACAATCCTCAACACTTCGACAAGTGGCTTTGTGGTTTTGAGAGAATAAACCACACTAGGCCAAAAACTTCTCTCGTCCATGATTATTTTCTTTATCTCTTTTCCATCAGCTTTCTTTGCCCAATTACAGCCCCCCCATTATGTTGAAACAAACATCTGCTGCAATGGTTCTTTCAATTCATACATGCTTTGTATAGTCAAAAATGTTGTGGCAAATCTCGTGGCTGCTGGTCTAAGAAGATCTTTTTTTAAATACTTTCTAGCTAGACTCAAAACCCACTGATGATTTTAAATGAAGTTGCTAACCTTTTTTGCTTTTATCAAGGCATTTTTTTGCTGTGTCAAGTCCCCAATTTTCTCAAGCATCAGGTCGATGCAATGAGCAGCACATGGGGTCCAATACAAACTCTTTCTTTTCTCCATCAGCAATGTTCCAGCGGCTTTGTAAGCACTTGCATTATCAGTCACCACTTGAATAACAACATCTTCACCGATTTCTTCAATTACCCCATCAAGTAACTCAAATAATTTTTGGGCATTCTTGATACAATCTGATGCATCAACTTTTTTTAAGAAAATTGTACCATGTTGATTGTTCACTAAGAAGTTGATCAAGCTTCTATTTCTCATATCCGACCATCCATCTGATAACAATGAAACTCCAGGGGTCTTCCATGTTGCTTTTATCTCGTCCACAGTTGCGTTTGTTGTTTTGACTTCTTCTTGTAGGATCCAATTTCTCAACTCGTACATGGTATGAGGTTTCAATCATCGACCATAGTTACCAACAGAACGTAGCATACTAACGAATGAAGGACTATTTGCTACATTAAACGGGATCCCATTCTCATAAAAGAATCTCCCGATGTCTAAGCAAACCTTGTTTTGTTGCTCTCTAACTGTGGTTGGTGTCATTTTTCCACCTGAAGTTGGTCCTTCTTCATCGTCTCCTGCGGTATTCACAAATCAATCCATTGGCCCTCTAACACCCCTTTGGATACTTGGACAGCAGTTGCCATGCTCTGGTGAATTGGCACCCACACTCCCATTTACACCTCCACTACCTACAAAGTATGCTCCACCATTAATAGCCTCCTCAAAATTCCGTTGGTATCTGAATTTTGAACTTTCAAAGTCTTTCAAGAATTGTTTCATCTCATCTTTCACTTCTGGAGGCACTAGAGGACAAGGTGATGTATTTTTGTGCGTACCAGCAAGATGGGCTTTCAACCTATGTACTCCTTCGGTGATAATTTTCTCACAAAACTTGCACATTAGATATTTATACCCTTTCTTTGCACCCTATGTCGGCACCTTCTTTTCTACACCATAGTGCCAAGCTGGATCTGTTCGTGATCCCTTACCAGCCATCGTAAATCTTGAAGCCTTCGGTTTGTTGGAGAGAGGGTGCGATGGCGAGAGATAAAAGAAATGGCGAGAGAGAAAAGAAACGATGGCGGCTAACTAGCTTAGAAAAGGTTTATGAAGTTTATTAATATGTATAGAAAAATAAGTTAGAGATGAAGATTCGGGAATAAAAGACAAAAAAGTCAATAAAAAGTAAAAAAAAAGGTCAAAATGTCAATAGAAACATGTGTCTGATGAATCTTAAGCCTCGATGCCTCACCTCGATGCCTCGACGCCTCAAGTCGCCTCAAGCCGCCTCACTCCGGTGAGGCTTAAGCCTCATTTTGGCCATCTGAGGCTCGGGATTTGAGGCTTTTTTCTCACGCCTCAGCCGAGGCTAGCGTCGAGGCTTACGCCTCAAACCGCCTTTTTAAACCTTGACTGGAATACTCCATATTGCATGGAAGGGCCTACCAAATAGATAAAATTCAAGATATAATGATCATTAGCCACTCTGAGTTTTGTTCATGCTACTCTCGAAATGCAAATTGAAAAAAAAAATCCTAAGAGTTACATTGGTTCCTAATAGTCGGAGAATGGTAGAGAGTAATGATCAAATCATCCTATTGAAAAAGCAAAAAAAAAAAAAACATAGTTAATAAATTTACCGAAATCAAATCATCCTATTGAAAAAGGAATTATGAGAAACTTACTTCCATTTCTATCGGGTAAAGGAGGGGCAGGGGGGGGGGGGGGTCCACAGTAGTATGTCCCATAATTGATGTAGCATTGATATCTGTGGGCCCAGATGAAGCAGAGGGATTAAAAATTCAATATGTTGCTTTATTAGTATTACACTACTATACATTAATACATATGAGATTAAGTGGATGGAATGGAATCAACATGGATGGAATGGAATAAGCAAGGTAATGGAAGGCATTGTTACAAGAAAAATTTTCACCACCGATATCCATCATTTCATTGGTGCGTTTAAACTTATTGAAAACTAGGTTGCTATAATACACATATAGTGGAAGTATGTAGCTATTTCTAGGATTTACAATGTTGTGGTAGAATTGATAAATTGAAATAGAAGAGAATCAGATACCATTTCATTCCTTTTCAGATTACATCGTACCAAAAAATACATGTCTATCATTCCGTAGCCTTCTTTTCTAACAACTCAAAATCAACTCAAAAAAATATCAAGCTTCAAAAAAACCAAAATTGAAATAATTTATGTCCCACATGATAAAAAAAAAAAAAAAATTGGGTAATCACCTCGATTAGGGCACCAAATTCTAATTCAAAACTTTGATATATTTTTCAAAAAAAATCCAAAATAAAAGGAAACATTTAAACAATAATAATAATATAAAGTAGAAGTGTCAAGAGGCTGACCTCATCTATAACATTGTTGACCTCATCTTTGACAACTCTTCCAGCACAAAAGATGTCTCTGTCTGCAAAATACTGATAACGAAAAAACATTTAAAAACTGAATTTCACCAATAGCAAGACGAGAAAGTACAATCTTGGCACCACTCTTCACACATTTATCCAACTTATCATAAATGATATTCCACTCTGCATCAACTATAGACTGATATTGCAATGGATTTGAAAGTCTGTTAATAAAAACAAAAAGAATGTCAAATGTTAAATCATATCAAACTAAACAAATAAGATCATAACACTAATTAATCACCTCAAAATTTCCATAATACGGAGGATAAATAACAGAAAATCACAAAAAATTCCAACATTACTCAGAGGCACACAAAAAATCGATCATAAAACCTCAAACTAAACAGTGGGGAACAAACGCCACCACGACAACCCTCAATCGGAAACATACAATAAAGTTAAATAAATCGGCTCCTTTCATAAGTGATTACGTATTTATATCTGTTTTCGATTGTGTGTATTGATATGTGCTTGTGTAAGTGTGTGATTGTGAACATGAATCAGAATGGAGTCGAGAACCGGAAAAGTAGGTAGAGGAGGATGTCGTCCCTAAGCAATGAGAAAAGAGATTGAGGAAAGGATACATTAACTTTCGACATTTAGTAATGATGAACACATCATCAAATGCGAGGAATTAAGCTCCATTTGAGCTTTTTCGACCCTAATTAACCAAAATTTGGGGAAGTGATTACCTAATCGAAGCTTCAATTGGGAAAACTAGGGCTTCAAACTTTGGAGCACGGTATTGTAGTGAACGAAGGAGAGTGTGGTGATTCGATGCGGTAGCAGCGCCGACAGAAGATGGAAGGCGAGGTAACGATGGTGGTAGTGTTCGATGCAGATTGTGAATAGAGGAAAGCAAGAGGAGGCTGCATAACGTAAATATGTAGGAGATGATACGCACATGTTGCGATACTTTACTGTAGTTTAACCCTCGTGTTATCATACTTAGTCACCCCTTCATCTTTTAAGCATTTTCACTAAGACCCTTACTAGGATTTTTATTACTCCAAACCCCTTTATACAAAATTACAAAATTACCTTAACATCAAATGGTAAAAATCACTACAATGAAATTAATAGACATGTATGTAATGAGACCATGCTATGTAACATTGTCTATTTAATGTGAACAGGGCAGCGTAAGTCGATTTGGGGCCTAGGGCAAAAAGAAAACATAAGGCCCTTCAAAATTTAGTAATCGCAAACTATAATACAACGAAAAAAATTGGAGGGTGTTTAAAAGATATCGGTTAAACCAATGACAAAACAAAATTAAAAAACCGGACAATTGAACAACCAAACCATTTTGAAAACCCGTCGTCGGGTTGGTGTTTGGAACAAAAAAACAATAGTTTATGTTTGTAAAAAAACAAAAATTTCTTATGTTGGTGAAAATTGTAAAATAAAAATTAAACTTAAAAATGTTATGTCTAATCGGTAGATTAATATGATTTTTGTTAATAAATCTAAGAAAATTAGCTATTATATATCAAAAGAGGGTGAAATTCCCATAAATAAACAGAAACAAAAATATACATGGTAATTTAGCATAAAAACACTAAAATTTCAAATGAAATAAATGGTTGAATATTGTGTTAGAAAAAGAAAAAAAAATTAAATGATAATTTTTATAATATGGATGATTTGTGAATAACAAAATAGAATATAGGGGGACTTTTTGTAATTTGAATTCGAATTCAATAAAGTGCTAGAGATGATTCAAATGTAAGTTTTTAATCTGTTTATTTATAATAAAAAGGAATAAAAGAAAAAGGAACCTAAAAAGCAAAAGCCTTTTATAACAAGATTCCAACTTACGTCTCTCATCAAAATGAAACACACGCCTACTTACAAAAACCTCTAACCAACTCAACTAACAAATTTTTAGAAATTTCTTTAACAAAAACCATATATATGAAGTAGAATTAATTTTGGGCCCAAATCATAATGAGACCTCAGGTCGTCGCCTGGTTTGCCCACATATTGGTCGGGCCTAAATGTGAAATTACCACAATACACTTCAATCGAATAAACGATCATGACCACCAAATAGGAGTTTATAATTTTCATTTTGTTTTTAAATTTATAATGAAATTTGTTCGGTGATCATTATTATACAATCATAACTTTTTTGTAATTTTCAATTGTATATTCAATTAATAGTTATTTTTTTTTCAGCTCATAAATATATAAATAGTTAGTGACCACTATTTTTGGTCACTAAGTTTTTAATTCACTAACCCTTATTTTTGCTCACTAGTCGCCAATTTAGTGACCACTATTTTTGATCACTAAGTCTCTAGAGCTACTATTTTTCATCATTAACCCTCCAATCCAATGACCATTATTTTTAGTCACTAAGTCTCCAATATAGTGACCATTATTTTTGGTCACTAATACTTGCTATGACGTACGCTAATTATTTAAACTATATTCTACATTTTAGTGACGGACAAGTGACGACCATCATGATAGTGGTCATTAAATTTGTAATATTACCAAAATTTAGTGACGATTAAATATATGGTGACTAAATGATGTTATTAATGACCACATTTTAGGTTGTCACTAAAAACTGGTCACTAAAATAAACTTTTCTTGTAGTGTGCTTTAATCATAGTCACTAATATAATTTGGAGCATTCTGTTAAGTAGTATTAATGAATTTTACTTATATTAAAAAAAATTATATTTAAGAGTCCATTTTTACTATTCACATAAGATTTTCAAAATCAATAGACCGACTATCCATAATTTTTACGAGAACAACATAAATTTCATTAAAAGATAGCAAAAGTACAAGGATCAGTTACCAGAGCTGCATTTGGTGTTAGATAGTTGCATTGTAACATATATTGATTAGCTAATTAACTAGTTTGTTAAGACTGTATATAGATTACTAATGACCTATTAAATCAGCTACGCCATCAACAT